ACGCGTCCGCCACGCCGGGTGCCAGATTCAAATCCGGCAGGGACCGAAACGGTATTCCACGACGAAACGGATAGCGGGGGCTCCGCAGGACATTTCGAATCCGTCTCCGCGTCCTGCGGGCTTTACTGGTTTGTCGAGCCATTGGCTCGATTCGGCAATTCTGCGCGCGTTCGACTTTCTCGCGAAAGAGGACGAATGCGATCGGTCGCCTACACAATTTCGCACGTGCAAAACTGTTGCTTTCGCGTAATCTATTTAATCTGGCCATTGCAATACTCGCGGTTGGGATGGAAAATGCGAACGACACTTCCTGCGGATAGTCGAAGAGATTTAGAAACGAAAGTATCGTAAAAAAAATCTAAAAAAATTTATTAACATCAAATATGGATTCAAATAATAACTAAAAAGTAAATCTTCAAATTTATTTAATTATTATAGATATATAGTAAAAATTGTAAATACATGAGCGTAGAAAGAGTAATTTATATAACGACAAACTTGACTATATTACCATAATAAGAAATTTTGATGTTACGGATATCAGATTAATTGCGATCACATATCTTCAATAACAGTAAAAAATTTTAGGAAAAGTCTTATTAACTTAAATAGATTTATGTAACAAATATTTTTTTCGCACGTACATCAATAACTCATGTCTCCATAACGGTGTGTTGTGACGATTGACAAAGAACCGAATACAAGCAGGAAGTTTGAAATACGTGAAGTGTATGTCTTCCTATTTTATCTAACTATAGATCGGACAAGATATATGTATATACCGAATAAAGTTATTAGGGTAAGGTGAAGAAGTCCGCAACAGGACCAGCCTCGTTTCAGCGTCTTCGTGAAGGAAGCGGAAGGAGAAGGAAGAGACTCACGAGAGAAAAGAGACCGAGATGTTCGCCCGTTCCACAGAGTGTACGAAGCGTATCCAATTTGATGGCATTACAATAACGGGGGTAATGTCTGAGAATAATGAAATTTCCCCCAATCACCACGGTTCGTCTAGAATACGTTCCTACGTTCCGTTCCTGTCTTCTGTCTTCTGTCATCTGTCTCTCTCTCTCTCTCTCTCTCTCTCTCTCTCTCTCTCTCTTTCCTTCTTTCCTTTTTTCCCCTCCCCTCTCCGTCGAACTGAGGTCTTCCATCGTCTACCACACGCATACATTCGAATAGACATGTACAGGCAGACCAGAGAAAATGAATAGAAACGTTTTCGAATCAATCCCGTTCGCGAGTTATTTCGTTCCCCATCGAAGAAGAGTCGAGGGATCCTCGAGTGCTTTCGTTCAAGAAATGGATTCTGGTCAAAAGTTTTGGAATGCGACGATAGTTACGAATATTCTATGCACTCCCGCAATGTTACAACATTACGTAACGCGATGAAAATTTAAAACTATTATGATGATTAATTTCAAAATTGATCTAATTTCGAAAAATGAGTTTCACAAAAACAATACGTAGTTAGGTAGCGTAAGTCGCGTGAAAGTGTATTTTTTTATGTTATTATGTATATATGTCAAATACTGCAAAGCAAATGTATTAATATACATCTATTTCTTAAAAAATTATAAAAAAATAGATTCTATGTACATTCGTGAGTTGATTTTGTAATCATATTTTTCGGATAATACAATTCTTGAATTTTATTCATTTTTACATATGCTGATTCCATTACAATAAAATGCACCCACTATAATCCACTTTCAAACGACAAACGATGAAAAATGACGAAATATCGGGAGACTTTGAATTCCGAGACCGGAATTCCTTTTGGCCGTTCGTCGTTTTGCTCGTTCGACGCCTCGTTTCGCCTTAACGTGAGCGCAATAATTCTCGAGCGAACTGTACATAATGGAATATTACACGGACCATTAAAGAAACGTTAATCTTGCCCACAACAAGTTCAGAAGCGCTCGCAGGATGCTCAAACGCGGCCGGGATTACGCGCTGGCTTTGATCCTCCAACGCCCTGAAGGCGCGTACCGGAGTCCGCAGCCTCCTGTAATTTGTTAAAACGCGAAATTCTGTGACGTCGCTGTTTGTGTCGGCGTCTCGTTACCGCTTAAAAGTCACGCGGCTCCTTTGACGACTTACCGTAAAATATACTTGTTATTTAATATTAAATTGATCGTTTTTTCTACCACTTTTTATTCCATTTTTTTTTTACATTAATAGTTGAAAGGACTGTGATTCCGAAACAGATAGAATAGATTAACGTCTCAAAAATACATTGATGCGATAAACAATAGAATTAGAATATCATATTTATAAAAATAATTATATATAACGAGTGAAGAAAATGACATAAATCTACGAAATAAAAAGATTCAAAAGGAAATTTTTTGTTCTCCAAAAAGTTTTATAAATAAAATAATTTGTACTGATTTCTTCTTATGTCTTCTAATGTTTTTCTTCTATCTATTAATATCTTCTTTGTTATATCTATTATTTAAAATGGTCACAAAGTCAGTCACAATTTATTGATATTCAATAATAGTTTTGTGCTCTATGTTAAATATTATGAAAGACTTGCTTCCATAATGATAAAGCCATGTCACAACTTTCGCGAATTGTTTCACACGAATCGCTTTACTCTATCTTCATCGATGTGGATACTAAAATTTTCGGGAAGGGGGAGGCGTGCTACACAGAAAAAGCTGCGGATGAACTCTCGACGGCTTTCTTTCACGGGTAAGAGCGAACCTTTGACATTTTTTTCTCGCGTCGATAAGAATGCTCTCTCGATTCTACCGTCATCCTTTCTGTCCTCCTTACCCTCCAACCAGAGACTTTCTTTCGTAGTCTTTCTGCGAGGGTGACTCGTGTACACCTCGGCGCAGCTATTACGAAGGCGCGAGGGAGCAAGTCAGCCAGCTTCGAGAAGGGAAGACGAGACGAGAACGAAGGAGACGCGCGGCAGCAGACGAGGAGAGATGGCGCAGGGTGACGTGGGAGAGAGAGAATTTAGCGACCCTCTTTCACTTTTTACCCTAAGCGAGTCGAGAGCCCCTTAGCCACCGTTTATTGGACGCATGCAAATATCCATGGCAACGGCGGTACCGTGCCGTATACGGGAAGAACCAACCCCGCCGCACCGTCGAGAACGCCGAACGTGCGAGGGGTGTACATGAAGATCTTCCAGGTCGAAGGAAGAAAAATGGAAAAAAGAGAGAGAGAAAGAGATGTCAGGGAATTTCCTTTTGATCCGCGTGTCGCCCATCTTCGAGCAATCTCTTAATTGATTCTGCAGGAATTGGTATTCTTTTCGGTCTCTGAATGCTTTTTCAACTGTTATCAAACGTACGTGTTTCCGCTAGTCATTATATATGACAATATGACCTAAATCTCTTGAAAGTAGTGGTAATAGAAATCTAAGAAATTCGATTACTTTTGTGTGTGAACTTACTTTCTTAATAAAGATATTCAGTTATAGATAATAAAATTTTAAACTATAAATGATTAAAAATCAATGAGTTGAATCTTAGAGATGCAATTGGATAAAGAAACTTTATCTTTCATCCAATTTTCCATGAATTTACCTCATTTCATCTGTCTTTATCTTAATTTATTCGCTTAATAAAAATTAACAACTCGAGTTATGCGCAAAAACAATCTATTTAAACTATTATGATGTTCTGAAAATATTGTCAAAAGAGAAGAATGTTATCAATCATTTGCTGTCCATGTTATAGCTGATCAGAGGCATGATACTTTAATTAGAGACCCTCTAATAAGAGTTCAGACACGAACCGCAGTTTTGTATGTAAGATAGTAGTTTTAACAAAAATCTGCGAGAAAGAAAGAGAGACATACATTTCTTATTTTTTTTTCTCTTTCTCACTCCGTTCTATCTTTTTCTTATCTATATCTCTCTTTCTTTTTCTCTCTCAGAAATATTTAAAACATGGCGGATCAATGAAAAGTCACTTTCTCGTGTTCAGACTCTTATTAGAGGGTCTCTAATTTTAATGATACGCGTTCTATCGGCCCACGTGGAGTGCGATCACGAGACCGGAAGAACGATTCGTGTTGGGGGAGCAACGGCTCATCGGGGCGGAACCGGTTAACGCCAAATCGTCCGTCATTCGTTTGCGCGATTAACCGCCTCGTGTTAACAACATCGGCCGCGCCGCGACAAGGGGAGGAGTTTGTACGTCGTCCTGGTCGCGCGCGCCCACCCGAGTCCATCGGCTCGCATAAACATCCTCGGTACAACCAGCCGCCACCCCACAGAAAACTGATTTCCATCCCCCCATACCGCGACTCGCGCTATCTATGTAAATGCGGTCTTGTTTTGTGTGAGTAGACAAAGCCCCCGTTGACAATACGCCTGCGCGTTTACAACCTCCACCCGCCGAGCCGAAAGTCAGGCTCCATTACGGCTGTTTTGCGACGCGCTTTGTATTGTTGTCGCCGCCACCACCGCCGCCGTCGCTGCCGCGCGGCACCGATTCCTCCACGAAAACTTCTGTCATTTTCGTTAGATTGTAATCGGTTAACACCCATGAACTTTAACTGTGGGTTAACCAAGATCTGATGTTTAGCGAACCTTTGCTACTTAATCTTCATTTACTGTCTCCGGTATTCGCGGCTGATATAAAAAGTGACGTGGCGCTTTTATTAAATTAAAACACATTTCGCACCAAGTTTATTACCCTTTCCGTAGATTTAGTAAAAAGAAATTTTGACAGTAAAATAGTTTTAAAGACAGAAACTAATCTTTCATTTTTAAATTGAATTAAATTTTTAAATTTTGTTTATAAAGAAAAAAATATACATTCTTTTAATTTTTGTTATTCTTGCGTAATAATTATGAGCCAACTTAAGTATTTAGGACCAATGCAGACAAATATCTTCAGTTATATTATTACTTTATATAATTCTGTTTTTTCTCCAATAATAATAGAATTATCGTCTACTGGCCACTATAATTTCTGATTTCTTATTCGATGACGGTAAAAGAAATAATTAGATGGAATGTAGGTCGTACTTACGCTCGGGATGTTGTCGTTCGTGCACACTCCTTCCTGTAACAAGCGATCTCGAATCTCCCACGCGAAGATGGACGGGCACTCACTTTTGTAGAGCGAGATCTTACTGACGACTTCTGCCGTTGCCACGCGCGGTTTGCTGCCGCCTATGGCTCTGGGCCTTATAGATCCGGTCTCATAGTACCTACAACAATAATAATTTGCGGTACAATGCGGTAGGAATACGTGGAAACGCTCAGGTCGCTATTAAAAATGAAACGTCTATTTATTATACGTCTATTTCTTTAAGCATGTTATGATGGCCTAAATATAGTCGAATAATAGATGCAAAGCTGATATTGAACAATATACCTTGATTGCCTCTCATGCAACAGATGCTGAATAGTCAAATGTTTGACTGGACTCACTTATACCTATCTCTTAGCTCTTGACTCAGATTCGGTTGTAATTTTGCATAATGTTCTTTTAATTTTCTATCTATTAATCTATTAATTGAAATTTATAAAAGCTACATCTATTAGATTTATAACGCAAAACAAACCGACATGCAGGTTCATATTTCATACAAAGCTGCAAGATTTGAAACAAGTTACTTGATGACATAATTGCTTAACTTACTTAAAGTGACGTCTACAATGAAATTTTAAAGCATAAATTTCACTTTAAGTCTTAAAGTCGTAAAAAAATTAATCATAATCGATTATTCTCCTCACATTCAACTGTGATTAGTCAATTTCTTCTAGTTAAATCAACAAAGAGGTCCACCTACAATGGCATTTTGGTTGGTTCTTTTTATCAACTGGAACATTTTTCTCAGTGTAAATTTTATGCCGAATTTTACGCTTTAAAATCTCATTTTAGACGTCATTTAAGATGTACAGTGATTAAGAACGCGGCACCAAACGGAGCAAGCAATATTGCAACCAACCTGCCGAGGATCTTGGAGACACAGCCGTTGCTGACCTGTAGTATCCTGGAGATGTCACATGGTCGTGCGCCCGAATGTGCAAGCTCGACGATCTTTTGCCGTGTTGAGTCCGGAAGTGGCCGACCGCCGACGAAGACACCTCCCAGCTGGTTTACCCCGCTGTGTCCTGCAAACGACAAAAGTTGTTCGGTTATTTTTCGCTTAACAGTTTCGAGAACTGGGTAACAACAAATTACGATGCAACAGATTGCAGCTAGCAACAAGTTACGATAACAACAAATTGTCTTTCTTCTGAATTATTGTTTTTTTTTTTTCGTTCTCTTCCTTTTCCCTGATTCTTTCTCTTTCTACGAGCACGACGTTTGCGTAAGGGGTGTGGAAAATTCAAACGCTCCACCGCCTCCGGAGACTTTTTCGCATTTCGGCGAACAATACCGCTGTCACCATAGATCATGTATTTTCCCTCCTCTCGTCCGCGGACTTACCCCGGAAACCCAAGAAGAGAGGAGAAGACCGCGGGTGAGCTCTTTCTTTCTTTCTTTCCAGACTTGGCGAAGGGAGAGCGATGGGGAGGCGGAGGACGAGTACAGGGGGTTGGCCACGAACGTCGTAACGTCAGCGAATCCCATCGTAGATAATCTTCGACTCATTGTGTCAGTGACAAGGCAGGCACACACGTCGGTGCGGGATACTCGAGAGGAACGCCAGAACGGTGTGTTCTCTTGCGCAGATATTTTATATTCCCGCGACCGCCGAGCGCGAATGCCGTATCGAAGGTGACATTTAGAGTGGAGCGCCACGCCTTAATTTTTCTCGAATAGAAACTCTGTCGTCTTCAAGGAAAAGGTAAAATTTGGAAATAAAACGCAAGAAATAGATATTAAGGAAATAGGTATAAGGTAACATAAATGTTATAGACATATAATATAACATACATAATTTATCTGAGAAAATATATTTTCTTGAATTTTAATTTAAGTTAGTATCTATTTATAGTAATTAATGATTTAAAAAAAAAAAATTTTCAAAGTAAGCATCCGACATCTAAAGCTATAACTTTTTAATTATTACTTAAATCATGTGTGTGTGTTATATCAAGTCTAATTACTTATTAGAAACTGTAAAAAGTGTTTTCTTTTATCTTGCGCAGAGGACATTTTTTTATCTTATGTATCTGAATATAATAATGTACAGAACTGTTTTTACATGTAAAACTTTTGTTGAATCTTCTGACAAGTACGGAACAGGAAAAACCGTTGATTATATCTGACGATAAAAGCATTGATGGAGACTATCAAATAGAATGAAGTATATTTCAAGCGTGGATGTAGCTCTCGATCGCGAGGAGAAGGTATATACGTTAGGGAAAGCAACGTCGGTTGTCAAAAATTTCTCATCGACGCTAATTCGACGCGTCGAGCGACACACACTCGGAGGGTTACAAGGAAGATTTACGAGCGTGTGCGATCGACGAAAAGGGGGCTTACGGTCGATTGACTTTCGAAAATGGGCCTGGCGCGAGAATCGCGAGCCATTTCTCGCGTCTATCTATGCGCGCCCGTCATAAATGGGCCTTTCCTTGTTCGAAAGAGAATCTACTCTCCACATGCGTAATATATGTAATATACACACGTAATACACACACGTGCGCGCGCGTATTATGTGTGTATTATACGTATACTAATAATAAATTCGGCCACTCGCACTATAATATACTGGATCAGTGCACATTAAAAGCTGCTCTACATAAAGTACCAAATGCAGTGGCATAATATAATCAATTTTGACACTGGAATAATACATGTATACTCTGTTAAATAACATGACGATGTACTTAGGGTATTCAATCGTTTAAAATATTCACATGCTTTTACATGTAACTTTGTTAATTTCATGTGTAGTACACGGAAAAAAAAGATTGACTGCTGCAAATTAGATGGTAAAATATGGCATAGCATTTTTAATTGGCTGCAACACTTAATTTTTTATTGCGTTAGCCTATCCGCAATCTCAGTATAGGATTTCGATAGGCTAATACAACCAAAAATTGGCTGCTGCAACCAATTAAAAATGCTATGTCATATTTAACCATTTAATTTGCTGCAGCAGTCAATCTTTTTTTTCAGTGTAGCTTTTAGTATGCACTAATGTAGTGTAATGTAAGTGACCAAATTTGCTACCGATATAGATCTGTTTTGTTGTGGCTGAACTAGTGTTAACCACATAGTCAGGGTCTAAAAGGTTGCAACACTTTTTTTTTTATGGGATTCGGAATACAACTTGCTTATCGAGCGATTGGTTTTTATTCATAGATCCATAAATAAGGACCAATTGCTCGGTGAGTCGGTTGCATTCTGAAACCCATTAAAAAAAGTGTTGCAACCTTTTAGATCCCGACTATACACTTTTGGAACTTAAAGTGAGCTAAATATACTCGTATGTTTGAAGAAAGCGAGAAAGAGAGTTCTAGTGCAGTCTAATGCAGGAATAAAAACAAATCTTATATTCCAATCCAATATAAGGCCTGTTTTTTTATTTCTGCACTAGACTACACTAGAACTCTCTTTCTCGCTTTCGCCAAATGTCAAACATATTATACCTATCTCATTTTAAGTTTCAAAAGCGTACACCAGTTCAGCCACAGAAAACAAACCTATTATTCGCGAATTAATAAAGTTTATACATAAGTACGTTACCATTTGTTTCGCTATTAGATTGTTTCTCTATTAGATCCGCGTAAAACGGATATAAGGAATGTGGAAACGGTGAAAGCGATGAAATTCTCGCTCAGTTGGGAGGAATCCGCTGATAATACCACGCAGAGCTCACAAATCGGCGGATAAAAAGCGGAGCAGTGAATTAAAGAAACAAATGGAGTCTGAAAAGGAGGGCGAGCGCCGCACTACGCCGCATAGCACCGGCTAAGGGGGTGGTGAGCAAATTGTTAAACGCGCTTCTCGAATGCCGACTCTTAACGAGCGATAATAACTCGCGCAAATAACTGGCACGTCTTTAGAGAGCTAGTTTCTGCTTTCTCTCGCCTCCCCCCTATCTCTCTCCGCGTCGTCCACCCGGCCATTGTGTATACGAGCACGAGAACACCAGGGAATTACAGTTAGCTCCTCGTCGTCTCTGTCCGCGGATTCTGAAGGGATATGCGTGTGTGCTCGTTCGTATTATAGCCGGTACAACGGCAGGGGTGCGCGATACTTACACCTTTAGGCAGCCTGTATTAACCGCGCGCGCGACCAAGGGGTGCGCTCGAGTGGGCATTTGGAGCCTAGAGGACGTGTTTTGATATTGTAACGTTTGTATTAAATATCAAGTTGGAAGGGTGCCGCGCCCGTCTGAGCTTCGGCGCCGTTTATTAGGACTTCATTAGTCGTCCCTTGATCCCTTCTCACTTTCTAGCCCTAACACCCTTTTCCGTGATGCATCATCGATCGCGCGTGGAATTTTTCCGGACCGTTTCTATAGATCTCTGAAGGGACGTTGTTATTAGATAGTACACATATTTCTAGTACTCATTTAAATTACTAAATTTTTTGCTATCAGTGTATATAAATCATAGTTTAAAATACCACAGATAATACTAGGGGAACGGTAAAGTTTGTTTTATAGTAAATAATTAATAATGTTTATAAATCATTTTTTCGTTTAGCACTTTCAAAATATCAAAGTAGATTTTTACATAAAAAAACATTGAAGATTTGCGTTACGTTTGTCAAAAACGACGTTGATCCTTGCCTATGTCTATAACATGTAGAAGTAGATGGCAATCACTTTGAAAATGTGTATCTACTACACTATTTTATTATGTAGTGTATGTACAGAATCTATGGCGAATGGGTCAAGGACGCATTTGTTCTGTGCTATCAAACTCAGCGCCAGTAACTCATTACATATAATGTACAATACGCAGCTGTTTCTGAAAAGACATCTCATGCATACATATTAACGCGTATAAGTAGTATAAATCTAGTAATATATTTTACGATTATATACTCTACGACGTGTATGAAAAAAAGAAGTATGTTAGAAAATCTAATCGCGAATGGTCAGTGAGTTTTGCTAATCGAGGATCGATGAGCGAAGTGTTTTCAAATGCGCGCAGACAGTTTGATACTTTTGGCAGCGCGCGTAGCCGCGAAAAAATGAGGAAGCTCGTTTACAAACGGGCAACAGAGCCTCGCTGACGCGACGGCTCAGACAGCACATTCATCATCCGTCCGACTTCTTCCACCCCGTTCGACTTATATAGCCGGCCTCTCCTTTTCTTTCTTGTTCTCCAGCGGGGTGATTCTCTTCTCTCGGCATCGTGACGTAATCAATTACTAGCTCGCCGGAGGTTGCCGGCTTCTCCTACGCGAGACTTGTTCTGTCCTGATTTCTTATAACAGAATAAAGTATTCACTATTCTATTTTGATTTGATCCTGACTCATTCAAATCTTGGGTCATTGCTTCATCACATCTTTTTTTTACATCTCGTATTAACGTTATGATGATCTTCATTTTATAACACACTTAAAATAATCTCTGATTTCCTTTATTAAATTCCTAAGGGGATATTTACATAAAATTGTTATATTACAATATAAAATAAATTGTATTTTTTATGATAGTAAGTATTTCTTAATAAATTTATTATAAGTTATTTAATATATGTATAATGTTAGTAATAGAGAAAAAAGAGAGAAAAAAAACGCGAAATATCATTTTGTTTTTATTAATGTAACACAGTAGATATTTCTGTGACATAACTACTTTTAATTATACATGATTGTTAGTCACAGAGATTACTAATTATGTACAGATAGTTTTACGATATACGTATAGAACGAACATAATTTATAAAAAAATTGAAGAGGGGTAAAAAAGGTTGTGGTTATGGAATAGGAGTAGAATACTATCAATTAGTATACATGCAAACATTTCGTTAGCTAAATTTAGCTCAATTATATCCATTTGAAAGTAATATTCAAGGCTTTTAAGTTAGACTGAATTAAGTTACAAGATCTATAAAACTATCTGCTACCTGCAAAACTTGAAATGCAGCTTTTATCACAAGGCAGTAAATACTAAAGATCAGTGGCCATGTTATAACATTTAATGCAAATCTCACACGATTAATAAAATACTGATCAATATTACTGAATCATTAATAT